ATATATATATATATGTTTCTAAGAAATGTTAAATGTCTAATTCATTAAAAAAAAATTTGAGAAATTTTTCAAAAAGATAATAAAATTATACAAGAATTTTCATAAATTCTGTTTGTATAGAAATTCTAAAAAATTGTGTGAATTCTGAGAAAAATTTTCGTTTCAGGATATTAAATTACTTGTAACTAGTATTCTCTATAATTTTGTTTAGTAAAATTACTTGTAGGAAATGTAGGAAAAGAAAATAAAATTATGCAATAGAAAAGACTTGCTATCTAATTAGGATTCTAATTTAATTTTTCATCTCTCATATTTTTTTTGTATTTTATATACCTGGCGTGTCGCTCGGCTTATCGAGCGACGTTCTAAGTCCGAACGTGAACTGCGGTGCTTTATCCATTCTCATTTTTTCGGGATGATAAGTACCTGGAGCTAGACACTTGTCAATAAATTTTACAAGTTCTGTCGTAAATGGCAATTTTCTATTTGCAGTACTGTCAAGTCTCTGAACGTAGACAATGATATATTACGGTGTAAGAGATCTAACATATATCACGAGACATGCAATAGTACTTTATTTATTTACGGTGATAAGCAACACTACACTATCAACTTCACATGTATGCGACTACGTATTAACTACGCTATCAATTTAGCACGCATTGCACATCTTTAATTATCAAAAATATACGTTCTCTTTATTTACCAATTGCATTAATTAATCTATATTAATCACACACAATTACTTTTACCTACATCTTAAACGCCACACAGTGCATATAGTTAATTGCTGTGGATTTTAAAAATTGAAATAGAATATTCAGAGGCAGAAAAGGGAATAAAAATTGAAAAATAAAAATTGTTGCTATCACGAATTTGTTAGTATAATAATATATATCTTCTGAGAAATTTACAGTGCTTAGGAGTCTCAAATTCATTATACGTTCATATCACGCTAAAGTGAGTCCTAATGTTTCTATGTTTAAAAAAAATTATATTTTTGTACCTAAGTATCAATTCTTCAGTGATAATAGTTTTGAATATCGACTTTTGATACAATAATCCTCAAATGAAGTCCCATAACTAATCGCCAATTAGTTGCGGTAGCATCGATTTTCCTAAACATTATTGCATCAATATAATATAATGATACATTTCTCTATATACATATATAATTTATGTAATTTATTAATTATTTAAAAATTTTCTACTATATTTTTTAAAGATTTGAAAAATAATGCATTAATGAAAATATTCCATGTGTAATCACGAAACGAGAGAATTATTTCAGAAATAAATGAAATCAACTGACATTCAGTAATTATTGCACACACGATATTAAGCAATTTTAAATAACACAATTCAAAACGCATATTTGTTATAACATATAAATTCTGTTATAAAATTGCAATCAACATGCTAAATTTCTTATCGCGATCTATTTATAGTCTTGTATTACTTTGAAACAACTGAACATTTTTCTTATTATTGTAGTTTGTCAAAAATTAGCACACGAAATACTTGAATTGGGACTGCATTTAACTGATTATACATATAACATACATATAATTACCGGACATATTATTCGATCTTTCCAATACAACTTTTACGCCGAAAGTAAATGCTTGTAGATTCACAGATTCACAGATTTCAGCGCAATAATCATTCGGTGATCGAGATGCAATTTATGTTTTATATAAATGTTTTATATCACAATATGAGTATACGACGTAAGTGGTGCTTTTCGACTATCTGTTTTGTACAAAATTTTTCAGTTGCAACAACTAAATTTTTATATTGATAATACTTGTAATAATTTGTGTGCAGTTATTTTAATGATTATCAGTGTAATAACTATATATAACTATGGAATGACACTGAGAAAAAAATATAGTTAATAAATATTTAGTTCAATATTGCCAACTGAACATTTACTTACAGTAAGTAAATATTTGTTCAATAAAAAAAATGATTGTTAAACCAAATTAACATTTCTTTTATCAAATAAATATATCTTTATATTTAATAAATATTTTTTTGGCAGTATTCAACTAAATATTTATTAAAATTGACTATATCTTTTTTTTTAGTGTATATAATCGTAAATTCTCCAATATATTTTATTGCAATAGATTAGAGAATAATATATACATTGGCTGTAGTTCAGTAGAAAATTCTTGTGTAAAATTCTTGTTTCTTATATTCTTCGCATGTAAAATTTTTCAATATGATTAATTTATACATTTAAATCCAAAGCAAGAAATCAAAAGCAAGAACCAATCATATTGAAGAATTTTACAGCAATTGCAAAGATGCTTTCTCTGCTGAACGCAGCAATTCTACATATCACAGTCCATCAAATTTTTCTTTCTAATGAAATAATCACCGTAAAGTACCTCTCTGCAAGTTATATTTAGATTGGGATATTATAAATTGTAATATGTCATAATAATATAAAGATTACGTTTATCACAATAATCATAGATTAATCAGAATTGTGTATCTTTAGCGTAAAGTCTAAAGAAGTTATGATGTAGTTAAATATAATAGATTGTAGAACATGAAATTACTCGAATAATGAATATATACAAATATACATTTATGCATATCTAAAATAATATACAAGATTATTCAGAACAATCATTTGTCTTTGAAATACCATATTCCTGATTTAATTCTAAAACGATTTTTCTTTAATTAAAATTTTATCTGAAGTTTAGTTTTTAAATTGAGTTATTTTCGAATCAATTTTGTTATCAATAAATCAAGTGCACGAATAAATCTGCGAACGTACGAAGACATCGAATCAAGGTAATGAGTGAGTGAATGAGAGAGTTAACGAGTGCATGTGAGTATCTCTCTCTATCTCTATCTTTCTTTCTCTCTTATGTATGTGCACGTACGTCATCGTGTATAGAGTAGGTAGCTAATCGCAGAAAGCAATCCTGAATAATCATCCGTGGACGATAACTTATGTCGCTCCTGTTTAATATATTCTGTACGCATCCCGTAATTTGTTAACTATTTTTTCTTTTAATTTAAAAACTAAGCTCTTCAAATAAAATTTTGATAAGGAAAAAATCATCTTAGAATTAAATCAAATACAGTGTTTCAAGGACAAACAATTGTTCTGAATCATCCTGTATGTATAATATGAGAGTGACATAACAATACATCTTCTATAAAAAGATACAAATATATATTTTTTAAAGAATTAATTCTATGATTATATATAAAAAAATATTTATATAGTTGCGATGTATATACCTTCAACTTTACGTCGCGCATCATTCCAAAATTTTTATGTGCCTATGTTATTGCCAATTAAAATCTGGAAAATGATCTTACACATAGGTATACATATTTACATTTAAACTTACCGGGTGTACAGCTGATCTTCTCGATTTGCGTTTTAACGCCGAAAGAATATTTTGGTGAGCTATCCAGAATTATCTTCTCCGCCTTTAACGGATTGTAATCGCCTGGTGCTGGTGTAATTTCGAATTTCGTTGATTTCGTTCGACCATATAGCGACACGGCTGGTGCGGCATCTTTTCCTAAAAAATAGCTTTAATATATTATCATGATATTCTATTATTTGTTATTAATCAATTAATAATTGTAATTTTAATTCATATTTAAAAAGAGAGAAGATAAAAGAAAAAATGTACTATGTAATTAAAATAATTTTAATTTTTAATTCTACTAGAAATTTTTTAAATAGTATAAAAGTTTGTAAAAGAAGACATAGAAATAATCAAAAATTAATTGAAAATTACTTTTGTGCGATTTGATAAATTAAAATGTATTATCTAAAGCAGGTCGGATCTAAAGAAATTATACACGTATCGATCGTTCTAGTTCTATTCAAACACGAAGCGCAGGAATTTCGTGAACATCGGTCATTAAAACGTTATCATTCTTGGAGTATTGGTAGTTAGGAGTTTGATCGATACTTTGGCCGACGTAACTTGCAAGTCTTGTGAAGCAATCACGCATTTATAAGATGCCTTTACTTCTCGTAATATTTTAATGTTATTATCATATTTCACTCATACATTTCAACTTACATATAAAAAAGATAATAATTATCGTATATTATTTATTTCATATGTTCTAGTTAAATAATTTAAATAAAATCTCTTATAAAGAATAAGTATCTAATTATTAATAATAGTTTTCGAAAAAATTTTCGTTAAAATTTTAAGTAAATATTTTGTCAAATTTTATTTATTCATTTTATTTATTCATTTATATACCTTTTGCGCTAAGCCCAGTGACATTATATTGCCCAGGACCAGGTCCAGAGCTATTATTTTTCGCTGCATGCCTAAAAAATTTGCAGTATATCAAATTATATATTAATTATATGTTAAAATTAAGTTATATATTGCTTACTTAAATTAAAAGAATATAAAGCATACTTTAAAGATATAAGACAAAATTATAAACATGGTAGCTTTTCTTAAATTCAACGTAGTAATACAAATATTGCATTAAAATATTCTTATAGTATTAAAATACAAAAGAATTTTATTAAAGTATAAAAGAAATTGATAAAATAACACGTTGCAAATTAAATTTAAATTTATTCACCTGCTGCCGAAGGAGAATGCTGGTGCTCTTCCTCGTTTAGAATCTGTAACTGTTTTTCCTGCAAATGTTACAAAGTATTGCTATATAAAGTGTATAAAAAGTATAATTAAAAGTAAGGATGTGTGATTTTTAAAAAATCATCACGATTGCGATTTTCCTTAAAAATCGCAATAAACGCGATATAACACATCGCGAGTTTTACATGTGTGATATATACATTTATTCAATACAGATATTTACCTATTAACGATGGTAAAGTTACACAGGCTGGTCCTGGACTGCTATATTCGGCGGCAATCGGGCCTCGTCTTTTTGTTGGTGTCCAGGGTCTTTGCGTCATTCCAACCATATTACTCGCCAAATTTATTGTACTCTACAATTGTGATAAAAAGAGAATAATCTATAATTAAATCTTGTAGAAAGATATAATTGCAGATATTAAATATGAGAATAATAATTTCTCTCTGCAATATAAAAATAGTTTAAATATCTTTCTCTGTACCAAGACATATTTCAAAATGCTTTTATTTTCCAACAAATTATCTTTGAGAAACTATATCTATCGAAGATGTTCTATTTTTCATGCGAATATGAATATTTAAATATGTTCCGTTTCTAAAACGCGCATCTGTATTTTCAGTATAACTTCTCGAACATGATTCTTTCTGGTAGACAACAAAATACATGTATATATGCGATGTCCATGATTTATGCAATGAAGGCGACCTCGAAGTCCCTCGGGGGACACGCACAGAAACAACTCTTAGCGAACCATATAAGAGCATGTCCATGATGGGCATTCGCCGCGATCACCCACCACTCGAGTTCTGGCCCATGTCATAAAGTGGGTGAGAGTTTTAAAAGTGCCCAAATATATACGGTAGTTAATAATGATGATGACTCAAAGCTTACTCATAATGCAAAATAACATGTTTAACGTATGCTAATCTTTGATACATAAATGCACATCTATGATACATAAAATGCAATGGACTATAAACTTTGAAAATTCGAGTAATTAACAATTTTTCCAATTTACGATAATTCTTCTCTAAACTTTCATTTTTTTTTATTGTGAGACTTTATTGTAACACTTTTCACATTTCAAAGTAACTTTTTATGACTAAAATTATATTCAAAATTAAAGATTTTTTAAATTTTAACAAATATATAGTTATTTGTTAATTATATTTTTCTTATTAGCATTGGAATAATATAAAAGAGAAAAGATTTCTCTGAATAGAACTGATATTTTGGAAATATATACATTTGCACGTATAATGGCACGTATAATGGCGTTATTTTTATTAGATCATATTCCGATTTTAAATATGATGATCAATGAAAAAATCCAAAGAATACTAAAAAGTTAAATAATAAACGTCGCCTACAATAAAATATTTTATGATGACTGATCCTCATTAATCACACAACCGAGTATAGTAGACGTCATCGATTCATTATTCACTTATATCAAAATTCTTACGTCATCATTGCGATATTTTGATAAAACGAAAGAGAGATTAAACAATGAAGAGAAACATTATAGAAAAATATAAAAATGAAAAATCTCAAAACATCATTGATATTAAAGATATTTTTCTACTCTCAAAAATAGTAAAATATAATAAAATCTTCTTTCTACAATAATATAATAATAATCAAACTTTCTCATTGAGAAATTCTTTCTATATAAATCTTTTGTTTTATAATATTTATTACTATCATTGGTTATTAATCGTTATGACGCAAAAATATTCATAAGGAATATAAATATTGTTGAGCGATATTATTTGCTTCTTTTCCATCCGCGTCATATATATGCTAAATGACATCATTATGTAGTATATACATGTATATATACTTATGGCAAAAACGCGACTGTGTGTCGACTACTATGGATATACTCACATATATATCCATACTCGCGTATCCATATCGAGATGACATATAGTAAATATACATATATCGATATACGCAAGTATATACATACACGTGCGAAAATGTAGCATTTCATTAGCCAAATATGGGAATGAAAGTATGGAGTAGCAATTGATACATAAGAGTATACAGACAGTACAAATGTACATCGTGATGTCGCCAAAATTGGAGGGAGATTGCAAAATATTCGCAAATACGGATCTTAGAAAGCAAATGATTCCTATAAAGAAATCGTGTCTTTTCTTCGTAGCTCTTTATCAATTTATATATACGTGATAAATGATATACGATAATTAGTAGATAATAAATAATATATGTATCATTAAATTTTGATAAACTAATTATTTAAAATATGAAACAATAAACATCAGAAAATTTTGTATTTAAATTGGAAATGGTCCATTCAAGTCCTTATTAAAATTGTATATAACTTCTACTACATATATATTCAAGTATTAATTTAATAGTGTGATTATGTTTTATTTAAATACTTTGCGTTAAATTTATGTTTAATAATTTTTTATGTCAAAAACTACAATTTATGAAGTAATAAATAACATAAAAATAATGTTTTAAAACATAAATTCTAAGGTACATAAATAATTTAAAATACGTGTTAATTTAACATATCATAAATGTTAATGTTACTTAAAAAATATACTTCTACACACGTAATTTGTTTATAAATTGTGTCATTAAATGTTTGAAGCATTTTTTAATAATAATATAATTTGACATACATTCTCTCTCTCTCTCTCTCTCTCTCTCTCTCTCTCTCTCTTCATTCAATAATTAAGGACGTGATTTCACTTAACACTTTTAAACAGTTTTTGAGACAATTATCCAGAAATTTGTAATAGATAATAATGAATGTAGATAATAATGAATAGAAAGCTTACATATACGCACGCAATACGTCTTAGCATAAATGCCAACTTCAATGTCAGATAAATATTTGGGGTGACACATATTTTAATGAGAAAACTGATAATTTGAGCGAGATGAAGTTATTCAAAAATTTTGCATTACTAATAAGAATTATTAAATTTTTCATATCTTAATAACGATATAGTTGATTTTACTTATAGTTTATATGAATTTTTTTAGCTTAGAATCATCTCTAAGATAAGTCGATCAGTTTCTTTGCGGAGAGAAATCTAAATAATACTTATATATTACAGGAATGTGTTATTATAAGTGTTTTGATAATATTTAAGTATAAAGAAAATGTTAAGAAATAAGGAATTGTTAAGGAAAAATTAAGGAAGAATAAAAAAAAATTATAAAGAAGATACGAGAGGAAAATTTAGAAATAGAACGAAAGGCAAGACATTAAGAAAACTAAGAAAAGATAGAGATAAGAGAAAAGAGAGGAGAGAAAGGGAAAGTGAGCGACAAAAAAATATTTAAACATTTATTTACTAATAATTAATTAAAGTGTTGTGGATTAAATTTTTTTTTAAATGATGATTATTTTTGATTTTTTTTTAGATCATACAACATAAAAAAATTGTTTATTGAAAATCATTAAGTGACTCAAAAATGAACTTATTGGCTTTTTTTTATAAACCAAGTTCCCTTCTTGGTTTATATATATAGAAGAATATATATATATAGAACATTTTATTCTTTTATTTCAAATAGTATTAAGTGAGTGATTATCAACAAATAAGATAGACTTGAAAGCCTAAGATTATGGATTTTTTATCTGTTACAATATTAATAAAATTATTGTCGATATCTCAATAATCAAACTGAATTGATATCTTATAGTGAATAGTATATGAATTTTTTTTGCTTGTTTTAGAATAACTTTCTAGAACTCATTCTAGAAGTTTGTTTGTTTTCGGTTTCTTCGCGGAATATTCTATATAAAAAAAAAGTGTTGCTTCCTGTTACCTTAGATTAATTAGGATTAATAATATATATATAATAATAATAATATAATCGCTATTATATCATTAAGGACATTATATTTTTTCAATATCAGAATATGTATCATGGGATGTATAATTTTGCTCTACACTATCTTTTTGTCATTTACTATTGCCTATTATATATATTTTTTAATTTTTTCTGTGAGCTTTGTACGAAATTATAATTTATAATGTATTCGCATAATCTTCGATCATCACAGTAAGAGTATTTAACTTTATAAAATAAATTTACTTACTCGGTAATAGTAAAAGTCTGTAAATAAGACAAGATATCCTTAACGTGAGATAAGAATAGCTGACAACGATTCTTTTCAAAATGATTACGTTGCTCGATTACCGCCGATCATATGTGTTTTATCAGTTCTGTGCTGAACGCAGATACGCACTTGAGACACGTTAACTTATGACTGAGGAATAAACATCAAGGTATCGCAGCAAGTACCTGTTTCCCGGATTTACATTCCCCACCTTTTGTGGCTCGCAATTTGATTGGAAGAGTCTGAAACTGTAAACGCCTGCGAGCTTGCCTTGCGTGCAAATGCTGAGCAGATCGTCGCGAATGTCACATGAAGCTTTCCAGTGCATTTCGTCGAACAAATCAGAATAGATTTTGATCGGAATTATTCCCTAGAAAAATACAATAGAAATCTAAGAATAATTAAATAATTCCAACCGGAATTTATTCCGATTTGTTCTATGATTCTATGATAAGTAAATGAAATGAATTGAAAATTTGCAAAATACATAAAACACATAAAAAAAAATACAATTTTATTAAATCTACAACGATAATAATAAATTATGTTTGATTCAATTACATTACATTGATCTTATAATTACAATCAGAGCTTACAAATTAATAAAAATAAAATTAATTTTTTCTCTTTTTGGATAATCTTTAGATTTTTTAAAATCAATTTTAACTCGATTAAAAAAGAAATGTTTTATTAAACTAGCCTTAAAAAAATATTATAAATTTTCGGAATATAGAGAAAAGAGAATTTTTTTTGCTTTCTAAAAAAAATAAAGAATTTTTTTGCTTTCTAATAAAAATAAAGAAATTAATTTAAAATATATAATGAAAATAATAATGTGAAAAATAACAATAATTGCACAACAATAACTGTTGATGCAGGTAGCACATAATTTTTATAGAAAAAAATTTACAGAATTTACAAAATATTTGTAAGTATTATTTTGAATATTTGTAAAATATTTCTGGTTTTAGATTGCATAAATTATAAATATTTATTACAAATTTTATGTGGTAAATAAAGTACGAATTAAATTTCCAAGATAATTCAAAAAGAAAAATCAAATAGACAATTGAGAATTGGCGCTATAGGTAGACGGTGCGCAGTTTTTGCTTCTTTAAAATACTTCTATATTATATCATTACTTATACATAAAATTTCAGTATATGGTACAAAACATTGATTATCCATGAATCGCATAAAAATCATTGTATAATAAAATAATAAAACCTGGAGATTTTTTAAATGGAAGAATGTTACTGCCACACAATGACATCGACTACTTCATTATACAACAATTTTTATACGACTCATGGATAATCAACGTTTTGTATCATATACTGAAATTTTGCTGAGAAAGGCTAAAAGATTAGCTGAAACATGTACACATAATAATATAAGAATATAGAATTATTTTCAAGAAACAAAACGCACCGTCTACAGCTTCTGTTTATTTGATTTTTCTTTTACAAATTTTATGAAATATTTATTGTAAATATAGCAAATGCTAGGGATGGGCGATATTTTAAACCGATATTTTAAATATCGATACATTTAGATTTTTTCCCCGATATTATGTACCAATATTTATAGATGTCAATATCTTTTGATAATGTACATTAAATATCGATATTTGAACAAGAATATCAAACTTCCGATATGGAATGCGTTTATACTTACAACATTTGTAAGTATCATTCTTATTATTTGTTCTTATTATTCGATAGACAACAAGAATGAATTTATATCTACAGCATAAAGAGCTCCCTTGAATACACACCCTACAACTTTTATTTGAAACGTTTTTCCGTTTTATCTTCCATATTTTTTGGGATATTTGTCTGGAGCAATTAAAATGGAATATCCTGTACAATATCAATTATCTATACATGTAAAATTAATAAATTACAAGTCTCGCTGACAATTACGATCTAGAACGAGAAAGAAATCGTATGAAATTCTCATCTTCTTTCACAATTTACCTCGTGTTTGTGACTTTTTTTTATTTGAGAGATGTAATGTAATTCGTGAGGCTGAAAGATTTTCATTCGTAAAAGAACCGGTTGAGTATTACATATCAGCGTGAAAAGAAGCACTGTTGCTAGCAACGTAGCAAAGAAGGGAGAACATTTAATCCTCTTCTCCCTCTCTTTCCTCGTTGCTGACCATCACTGACAGAACGGGCGAGTCGACATAGTGACGGCTAATACGATAGGTGTTAAGTAAGGAGAATTCTTAGTCATACGCATTATTAATGACAAATGTGCTTGTCTATTAATCTGCTACGCATAACACACTTGCCAGCAATGCGACACAGCCGGAAGTTTCATCAAAGTGTATAGATAAGAGGATCTAAAATGCCTTTTTATAAAGAAAATATGAAATTAATTTAATCTTTTTCACAATACGCGATATTTGAACAATAGAAGTGCGTTTTCTATGTATTAAATATTTTATTAGTACGATAGTGATCAAGAGGAGAAAAAAAGCTTACCTAAGTAGGTGTGTACTGAAGAACTTTCTCTACCTACGAATAGATTATTATACATGGAGAATTTTTTTGCAATATTTTAATTAATTCGTATGAATCTTGCTGAAAATTATTAATAATATCAAAGAATGCTTCAAATAGAATTAAAAAAGAATATATCGAAAATGATATTAATTAGTCATGAATAATTGTAATTAACTATCATCATTTCTTATACTTCTAACTTCATTATATTAAATTAAAAAAAAGATATTTAGAAAATAAATATTTTTATGCAAATTGTAAAGAAATCAAGTCAGCGATCGAGTTAACTGCAAGATTAAATGTAATTAAAATATAATTTAATTTATTTAAATATAATTAAGTATAATTAAAACATTTATTGTATAAAACCTAACAAGTACGTTTCGTTACCAATTTTATATGCTGAAGAAGTGACTCGTCACTTCTTAACAACAATAATAAATAAAATCACAATATCGAGAAAATTGTCGTTCTTAGTATAATACAATATTATTCGTCTTAACTTAACGTAAAATCTTGATCTAAGATCTTTGTAAATAAAATTATTAGCAATGTTGTACATACTAATTATTAGTTCCGAAGCAAGTGTTGAATTCTTAATCACAGTACTATAATTGTTAGTTCTTTCATTTGATTAGTCACCGAAACTTCATTGATAAGCGAATATCAAGTAACAATCGGCATCAGTGATATAAAAGTTTATCAAAACCTGTGGAATCAACGCATTTCAACTCAGTCAATAAACACACAAATTCAAATGAAATTTAATATTTTTATATACATAATTATGTATAAAAATAAAAATAATATTAGAATAATAGATTAAATATTTAATAAATATAAAAAAATAAAGAATATTGAAAAATATATTGAAATAAAAATATTAATAGAATTTTAAATAGCCCATCTTTTGATACATTGAATAATTCGTATTTATATATATTTTTGCCGCTTTTTTCTTAATCAAAACCAAAGGAGAAATGGGGAAAGAATTATTCTATCGGCTGTGTTATATAATACGAATATAACACGAATTGATTCGATCTAAACACAGGAAGCGGACGTCCGGACGTACTTTTGTTGTTATCACAATCAAAGAGATCATTACAAGATTTTACTGGACAAATGACTGAATTTATTATAAGGTGATACACAGATAAATGAAAATGTCAGAGTGATGAGAACATTTGCGCAAAATAACAGTGGAACTCTTAATTGGCACTTGAATAAATTGTGACGGTGAGATCACGATCAATGTCGTTACATGAGAGCTTTCTATCTATGTAGTAGCAAAATAAGCGACTTAACATAATATGCGAGCGATAATGATCCTCAATGTTTCTTTGTCTCGTTACTGCCTATTTAGTTTTTTTATACATATATCTCCTAATCTAAAAAGAATCTCGCATTAACAAAAAATGAAAATTCAAGCAAAAAATGAAAATTGAAAGCTAGATGGTACTTTTTAAAACAAAATGCACAAATTCAATAGCATCTGTTACTGAATTTCGTATTTATTTGATTTCGTAAATAATTTTTCAAATTATTTCTGCATATTTTTTGAATTATTTGTTTTTAAAAAGATACAAGCTAGATAAAATTAACAAAAATTTAATACATATTTCGATTAAGAGAGCTTCAGTTATCTTAATTTTTACATAGAGATAGACATATAGCGCCGATATTTTAAATATCAATATTTTTAGATTATTTTTTTCTTAACATTTTGTATCGATGTTTTGTTTTGATTTAAGTTTAAAAAAATTAATCTAATCATGGAAACATCCATTTATCTTGTTAAAAAAAAAATAGATGTTAATATTTAAGAACTTTGATCCACAATAATTTCTTTTTAAATTTAAACAAATAAAAATTTTAAGTGTAAGATTTAAAATGATTTATTTTCAGATAGCAAAATGGATCTCGAAGAGAATTCTCTGCAGGAAAGCTTGCTGAGTGTCTACGAGCCTACTCTAGACAGTGCGCAAGTTTTTTATAAGCTACTATTGGATGCCTTACGATTCAAGAATTTTCGTTTTTTCAAAAAAACTATAGAACATGATTTGATGAAGCAATCACCTATTCTGAATCTCAATTATGTATATCCGAACACGGAAGAAACATGCCTCGACATAGCTAGCAAGAATGGTTTAACAGATTTCGTGGAGTATTTATTGCGTTTAGGTGCGAAGCCTAATAGAGTAAATAAACTACATAATCGCGCTCCTATCCATTTCGCTACAGAAGAAGGACATATATCCACATTGATGACTTTGCTAGCGGAACCAACAATAAATCCAAATCTTGAGGCGAAACAGCAGACTGCCTTGCATATCGCAGTGAGAAAGAATGATTTGACATGCGCCGGTTTGTTGCTGGAGAACGGTGCTAGCGCAAATATTCCCAATAACAAAGGTTTGACGGCTCTCCATTTGGCAGCGATGAAAGACCAACGAGATATGGTGGCACTGATATTGGAAAAAAGCCGACAGTGTCCAGACATTGACACTTACAAAGATTACAATGATCAGACAACGCGAGAGGTGATTGAGAAAAAGATGCCGGATATATCATTACCGCCCAAAAATGAAAATCATGAGATAAATGTGCACGATCTTAAATATTACCTGATCACCAACGACGAGACAAATTTCCTAAAAAATATGGAGTTTGTCAAGATAGAGATTCTTCACAGTATAGCCGAAGAGCTGCTGGAAATGAGTGCACAAAGAGGCTTTTACAAAATTACGATTGGAATCCTGGAAAAACTAAAAGGAAAACAGTTTAGCGTGAAAAAAGCCGCGCAAGAAGCCGTTCAGCAGAACGATTATGCAATTCTTCAGGTACTGCTAGAAATGGAACCAAATGTAGCAAATGATTTACTTCTGAGTGCTTGTCAGGAACTAGGAATGCCGAGAAAACGAGGAATCGACAATACGCCTGATCGACTGAATTGTTTGAAGTTAATCTTGGAACAAGAAGACGTGAACATTCGTTGCAGTGATAGTAAGTATAGAACTATCATAGATTTTATATTGGATGAACCTTTCTCTATAGATAAATAAAAACGATAAGGATCAGTTTCACAACTCACGGTTAACGCTTAACGAAGATTCAATTATTTCTCTTTCCAAATTAGAAAGTTTAGAAAGAGATAAAGATTGGGCCTCAATGTGTTGTATTTATCACAAATAATAGACCAAGCATTTTCTGAAATAAATATCTAAATTATGTTCTATTCTTTTAAACGTCTTTTTGCAAGTTTTCTTTACCAATTTTTAATTACCTTTAATTACCAATATTATCTTATTATCATCAATAATATCTACTTACATATCTGTTTTAATAGATAAAGGCAACAGTCCATTACATTACGCAGCCAGAGCTGGTTGCCAAGAAGCAGTAATTTTACTTCTCAACCGAGGTAGCTACATCGGTCACATGAACAAGTACAATACACCGCCTATCGCAGATATCTCGGCACACACGCTGTCGCGCTACTTCGATGATTGTTTGCAGACGCGAAAAGATCGAACAAACGAATACACGATTGAATTTAACTATTGCTGCTTAATGCCGCACGACGTTCTCATTGATCGATATAAAACTCACCGAGCAACTCGCGAAATGGAAGTGTTTAAATACATCGTCAGCAATAGCGGCCTCAAACATCTACTGAAACATCCACTGCTTTCCTCTTTCCTCTATCTCAAGTGGCACAGAATACGACACGTTTTATACGCAAATTTCCTCTTTTATGTGATTTTTTATTTTTTATTAAACGCTTATATCCTGAGCATGACTTATGACACTAGGATAGAAAATGGGATGCAAACTGAAATCAACAATAGATCCGACGTGGCTTCGGGAAGTACTTCGCGAATTATTTGGAACCAACAAAACAACTTTCTTTGGGCCTCCACCACTGTGATGTTGCTATTGTTCATCCTCCGAGAAATTTTTCAACTTGTTTCCTGTGTTAGGCATTATCTAATGAGCTCAAGGAACTGGTTGGAAATCGCATTGATTACGCTCACTATCGCTTTGTTGTGTGGCGCGGGAGTTCAAATCGGTGCTGTGGTAATCTTACTGTCGGCCTGGGAATTGGTGATCCTCATCAGCCAGCATCCACGCTTGTCCACCGGCATCGAAATGTTCCGGACCGTTTCACTCAATTTTATACGCTTTCTGTTTCCCTATCTGTTTCTTATTTTCGCATTTGCTCTGGCCTTCTATACACTCTTCAAAAATGGCAACGATACGAATTTCCCTGATCCTGGTCTTTCACTTTTCAAAACTGTCATCATGCTCACTGGGGAGTTCGATGCTAATGACATTCCGTTTATTTCGCATCCCGTTTGGAGTCACATCATATTTATGTTATTTGTTTTCTTTATTGCTATCGTATTGTTTAACCTGCTTAATGGTTTGGCAGTCAGTGACACTGCTGAGATTCTATGTAAGGCCGAGTTGGTCGGACTTATTTCTCGAATACGTTTAGTTACCTACATTGAAGATGTAGCAGTTGGCGAACCTTTCAAGCACTGCGTTCATTGCAATTTGCGACTGTCTTGGAATCCTTTTGGTTTTCTTGCTAAGAGAATTCTTTTGTTTCCTCATTTCCTAAGAGATGGTAAAATCATTATCAATCCACACGATAATCTGGATATTTATGATAATAATAGATATTATGGAAAGAACGTTCACAGTGCATCTGTAAAGAGCAACAAGCAATGGACTACCGTGAGAATGGATCCTGACATAATTAAAAAAGCTAAACGTACTATTTGCAATAAGAATCAATTGACGGATAATGAGAGGATCATGATTACATTGGATAAACTACAGCAGAAATTGTGTACAATAGAGAAAAATCTGAAAATTACAAAGTGTGTAGAATAACAATCGATAATAATTTGCAATACTATATATTTATAAAAAGAAGTTAATGAAAAATATTCTAATATCTATTTTTTATATTCTAATATCCAAAAATTTTCAGTTTAAATAATAATATATTTTTTTAATTGAATGACATTGAAATGGATTTAAAAAATCAAGAATTTGGCTATAATAATCGTTTCATCAAATAGTATTTGGTATCTTGACTCAATATGTTCTGCCAATGTTGATTGTGTGATATATGTTTCAATCTGACATCTCGTTTATACACGGTACATTAAGTTGGATATTATAAAAACAAGATTACACGGAACATACCTTAACAAAAAAAAGTAGGCTAACAACTACATATTTCTCCTACAACAGCCAATTCTAACAGACTATAAGCTTCTGGAACAACTATCAGTTCTACCATCTTGTAATAGCGTACATCTTTATGGAGCAATCTTATAAAAGCCAATCTCACTTCAAATAACTACCAAATGTGAACTATGCGTCCTTTCTGGCTGAAATTTGACCTGAAGGGGTTCGAAGAGTAGATCTTTCGAGATGTCGCGTCATCAAATGGATTGTAGCGCCATTTCATGGAAATTTACCAAACTTATCAAACGACCCACATATATAAGAATATATGTATCATTAAATAAAAAAGTAATTGCTTAAAAAAAGATAAAAAGGTTTTCCCAAGAACATTCCAATTGCATTATTTAATTTTATTAGTACCTTAATCAATTCTATACATTTTTTTTTCTATATAATAATAAGATGATATTCCTAATATAAAAAACTTCCTAATATAAAAATATTTAAATATAATTAATGATAATAATAATATCCAATATTAAAACATTAAATATAGATTAGTTTTCTATGATGAATGAACGCAGCTATTTTTGTACATATATTTAGATTTAGTTAACATCACGTTTTTAATGCGTTTCCTTTTACTGTAAGCATTTGGTACCTTACCTCTGTAAGCAATATCTATAACGGTCTTGGATAATCAAGATTGCTCGCAAAGCGAAAATTTTGTTTGTAACTCTTTTTATATTTAAAGCAAATTACAAATACATTTTTGTTGAAATGATCTTCATCTTTCATCTTTCATGTATACATATGTATATGTCTCTGCATGTGCGTGCAAGCAAAGATAAAAAATAATGTATTGTTAACCAGATATATCCTGTGCGTCGGTCTTCTCTCTTCCTCGACGTATCAATATATCGGTGTAAAACATATTGAAGTCAAGCCTAATTTAAATATATCATTTAAAATTATTATTTATATAACTTGATTTTAAAATTGATAGGAAATATATTGATATAAAAATTATATGCATTTAATAGAATTTATTTAATAGAATTGTTAATAGAATTGTTAATAGAATTTATTTCTGGTAGGATTCCGATTGATCACGTTTTGATTGAATTTCAGCAAAGCTACTTTTTACACGTAAAAAAATAATTTGTTTAAAAATTATATACATAGAAATCTTACCGACATAACACATTAAGTAATTTCTCATTGTTATTATCACAACCCAAGTCACAAATTCGGTCTAGAAGTCGTGTCAATACTTTGGTAAATTTCTCATCTAACGATACGATTGTTTCTTCGAAACTTCCATCTTTTGCTGTAGAGCTGTTCTCAATCTATGAAAAAATATAGTCAATTAATATATTACATGAGTGTATGTAACACAAATAAAATTGTAAAGCAATTTTTTAAAAATAATGAAAATGTGATGATACATCATATCGAAGTTTTTGCTAAAAGTAGACATTATTTAAATTTTAAATAATGTTTACTTTTAGCAAAATATTTATTTTGCAACTGCGCACCGAAATTATGTTACTTTACAATTGTTGAAAATTTTTTTCGCACTGATTGAATTATACTTTTAGATCTGAAAGTATAATCCAATCAGAGTGAAGAAAACTTCCAACAGTTGTAAAATAAATGTTTTATTGAACGCGGTTGATGATAGATAATAAGCAAATAACTGCAATAACAAATTATTAAGAATCATGCCTTTTACGATTAATTATAAAAATATAATTATTATCCTTTCTTAAAATTGAATATAAATACATATCATTATAAATTATAACTCACTACAGTGTACAGTGTACACACTCATGCGATGTAATGTTTCAATATTTTTTAATATAGATTTTTAATTTAATATGACGAAATATATATAATTTAAGATAAAATAACAAATATTAAGATACTATAATATTGTTTTGTACTTAAAGATGCAACGGATATCTGATATCCGGTCTATCTGATCGCTTTTTTACAATCCGACCATACGGCCGAACAATTCAACTGTCCGGCCGGATTGTGAAAAAGTTGGACTATAAGTGCGCCATAAATGCCGTTTCCTATTTACTCTGCAATAAATAAGGTTATAATAAATAGAATTATAATAAAGAATTACATTGAAGAACTATATTGCCGCCATATTTGTCTCCATGTCCAGATTCTGATTAGAGGATCTTTATATTTTTTATACGATTTATAGGGTGTTCGGTAAGATTAATATTTATAAGATTAATATTTATAAAATATAAATTGTAACATGCAAATAAATAATATACATATATATATACACATCATAGTCACATGTTCTTAATAATAATGATCTTTAACAGATGTCATCCGCAAAGAAATGTTCTTCATGACTCTAAGACTACAGAGATGCATTCGGACGAGCTTAAAGCTTTGAAGGTATACCTCATATTCATAGATATCTTCCTGACAGGTACCGATCATGGATGTCAATTCAGCATCAATGTAGTAGCGGCTCATACGCTTAACATTAGTAGAATATTAACACTTAGTATATCAAAACTGAATATATCAAACTCTCAACCATTATAGTTTTTTCTTTCCCACTATATATCTTTATTAGTTATTTCTTAAATGTTATTTATTTTATAAATAAAATTTTATCTTTTTAAAAATAGCTTTAAATCAAATATCACAATTCAAGAAAAATATTAAATCAATCTATAAAAAATATGTTTAAATTGCTACATAAATGTTTTATATAAAACTATTATACAAGGGAAAGAACATGAGACTTAAAATTTATGTATTAGTATATTCAGAAATGTATTACGTATTAATATAAATAAAGCGGTATAACGAATCCAATTGAAATAATAGTCGCAACTAAAGAAAGAGATTGTTAGTTATAATTCTATACATGCAATGAATTAAATAATTACTAGAAAGAAATATACAACAAAAGGTTCACCTGCATGAAATTGCAGAATTCTACACATATGGCGCATACACCGGTGATACAGCTAAGAAGATCAGGGTCCGTTAACATACATTCCTTCAAATAACTGTCTTGCAAATCTTGATGCACACTCAGTACATCATCAACATTACTAACCTGATATTAGTTTATCAAATAAATATGTAAAGTCAAATATAAAATTTATGTATTTTATTGACATAAAAAATTAATATTGTATTTTCTAAATAAAAATTAGAAATTAATCATCACCTTGCTCATCTTATTTATAAATTTTAACCAATTTGGTTCCACGACTTCTACCATCATATAATATTCCAAATGCTGTACACAATCAAGCATTCTCTGTCGTAATGAAAACGCCTGTCTGTAAGCCATAGCCACTTCGTGCGTGAAAGTCTTCGCTATTTTATTGCTGATCCATACTCTATAATCCATCAAATTAAAAAATTTTACTATTTTATTTTCCTTATTTTAAAATTTTGCTATGGATATAACTCGTAAATCTATTAAAATTATTCACCTGCATAAGAGTCTCTCAACATATTTGCAATAAAACAGATGTCTAAATAACATTTGATAACAAGCTATGGCCTTTCTATTAATAATTAAAGAAACTGGCCATTTAACATCGTAATTGAAGACGAAAGCTTCTAAACCGGTCAAAACTTTTCCTGCTTGAAAGCAGTACTCTGCAAGGAAGATTAATTTTTGTTATATTAATTTTTTTTTTATTTAAATATAATTAGGTAAGTATATACTTTTAATGAAATACCTTTCTCATCTCTAGTTTGAATGGAGAGTATTCTGAACATTTGATATTGTAGATCGTATGGAAGTAATTCCGGCTTCAGATCATCTTTGTAGGGATCTGAATCTGCAGTAGACATTCGCAAAGCGACTTCGAGAAGAGATGCTAAACGATGTAGAACAATATCATACATACTCTTGTTCAATTCGGCCTCACAAAGATTCATAAATTGGACCTAATGGAAAATTAGACAAATATTTTATTATATAAAGAGTAATAAAAATGTTGAGAAATAAATATTTAGTAGCTTCTTAACATTTTTAAAGAAAAGGAATTCAATTTTAAGCATAAAAAAGTATAGTCAAAGATCATTCAAAGGAGCAATGGAAATGATTTATTCATTAAGACTTTTTTATTAAGACTTATTTTTTATTGTTCTATATGCTCTTAAAGTCTGATGATTCTTTTTTAGGGTCACTCTGTATTTCATTTCTCTGTTTAAAATTGCACAAACAATAAGAAATGTTGATGTATTTACAGTAGTGATGAAAATATAAATTATAATATTGAAAACTTTTATACTTTAAACTCTTTAAAGCTTTAATATTAAATTCTTGTTAATGTTTATATTATTATTATTTCAAAATGTATATAATATTATCTATAATATTATCTATAATATTATCTATAATATCTATTCAAATTATAATTATCGTAAATCTTTTTACCCAAAAGTCAAAAACATAAATATCTAATAAAATTTTTAACAAAATAAATAAAATGAAACTAATATTTAACAGCATGTAACTTATTATTAGCTTACCACAAAATCTCCTTGGGCAAGAAGAAAATAACTCTTTACACTACGTAGTCTACCCATCAGATCATTTTCCTTCATAAGTACCTCTAATAATTTTCTGGCAGCTTCTGAATATGCCCTATCGATAGCAGCTATGTATTTCTGTCCTTGATACTGATAACTTAATGGTTCTTGTTTTCCCCATTGCACTGTTTTACCTACATATAAATTTATTAAAGTTATAAAATAATTCGTAAACTAACAATTTGCAAACTAATTGATCAAAAATATGATTAACGATTATTAAACCAACGCTTTATTTATCTTTTAATAATATAATAAATACGATTATATTATTTTACATTAACATACCACATTGTCTAATCACATTAAAATATTTTCCTGTTCTAAGTATAGTTTGTGCATGTTCATTCAAGAATACAGGTATTCTTTCTAATCGCATAGTGTACCTCTTTTCCCAATAATCTGCAGAATAATCCACGGGAAGTTCTTCCCTTTGAATTAACTCGTTATCTTCTACAAAGAACTGATAAATAATGGATAAGTATAAATGTATTTATAATGTACACCATAAAAAAAATTGACTTAATACTAACTTCTTGATATGGATCGCATATCACTCCTTTGTAAACCCACTTTTCTAAAATTTGCATATATGGCATGCTCGCCGCTTGCATCAGATATAAACACAATTCTTTAGACTTTGCTTCACCACTGACATTGTTTAATGTTTGCTCATGCAAAAGGCTCAATACTTTGCCCCCTCTGGCGTTCGCCTAATATCAAATGCTTTACATCATATTATACTTCTAATGTTTTTAGTTATAGAAAACACAATTTATATTCTATAATATTCTACATGTATATTTAGAAATAAAGGTAATTAAAATTATTTAATTAACTGATATTTTAGACTAACCTTACATATTGTAGATGTAATTTGAGAAAGTATGGACATTGTAAGCATAGTAGGTTGAATATAAAACCATAGTTTCTGCAAACTTAATTTACCATGAATATGTTCTGTTTCAAGTTGCACGACAAAGAGCTAAAAGACAACAAAATTGATGTAAATTAAAATATAGAGATAAAAATATATCAAATCTTTGACTTGTCTTATCAAATTGTAGATGGCAATTTATTATACCAAGTAATCCTTCAGTAGAGATCGTATAGCTCCTCTCAAAGCATGATTGACTTGTCCATCATCCGGTGAGACCTTTTCTTCAACAAATCTCACTGTCATGGAGTAATAGGAAGCTAAAGGTAATATCTGTTGCGCTAATTGCTTAAATGATATACCTAACGGCAAAATTCAAAACATTTAATTTCATATTTGTAATAATTATTACTCGAGATTAAAATTTCTAACATTCTTTCTTACCAACATCCGATGATATATTGAAAGTCTTAACGCCATAAGGACTCGTTAATGGTTCCGAAACAATATATGATCCATCTATTCCTTTCAAACAATATAAAATATCCCAAAGAAGGATAGACTCCTGAGAAACAATTGGTACAACTTCTATAAAAAATTAAATATTTTAGACATGCACATTTCATCATTTTTAAATCTTGTGTTTGAAAGAGAGAAAAAAATTATTTACAAACTTTGATAAAGTGCTACAGTGGCGTCACTGTGAAAATCCCAAGTTATTCGTGGACGTTCTATTACCCAATTATGCTTCACTGAAGTACCATCACTTTTCTTATTGATCGAACAAACTTGCTGATTTAATTTCTTTCCTCCTTCTACAGCAGCTTTAATAACAGTTTTGCAAATCTATTGAATTAAAAAAATTATATGTATGGATATATTATGTAAAGACAAAGTAATTAATTAAATTATATAACTGAGGGAAATTTCATTAAAGATTACTTGTTACTATATTACTATATTACTTATTACTATATTATACAAGACCTTTGGCAAGTCTTCTTGTGTAATAGTTGGATCCTTTAGAGAACTAGTCGTGGCTCTCGGTAGGGATCTTGACAAGTATTTCTTCAGTTCGTCATCTTGAGATATCAATTCTAGAGTCTGTACAAATGGACCAAGTAAATCTACTCTGAAAAAATACATTTTTTGTTGTTTTTCTTCTGAAAATTACAATATCTTTAAAACTAACTTTTTTGATTTTAGTTCTTCATATTTTTGTATAAATAATTCTGGTACGGATGAAATCTTGGCAAGGTGCTGAATACAGCTGTGAGGAGCAACCACATTTAATGTCGTCAAGCTTTCTTTTTGTAGCTTTTCCAAGTGTCTCTCTGGAGCAGATTCTGAACTAAAAAATTACACATATTTGTTGCGAGTAATAATTTAAAATAAATGTAAAATAATGCGACTTGACAAATTTCTTTAAATCTACATAATTTTGCGAGTTATAAAATATGAATTTTACCGCTTACCCCAATAATTCAATCAGCTGCACTATTAAATGATGTAATTTAAATTCACTCATTGCGCTTTTGATTACTCCAAGTGTCTCTCAATTGTAACACTCGTTGTTAAATAAATTTAATAATATTGTACAAAGTATACAAATATTTATTTAAATTTGAATAGAAGTAATCATTTTTAATATACGCATTTAAATTTTAATCTCTTTACGTGTTTAAAAGCTTCTTTGATAGGTTATGATTATTTTCGCGTCATCTAGTGAGAACTTTGTCAACTTATCTCGCGGGAATATTTAAATTCCACATAATAACCGACGTAATAAATTTATGTAAAAATTATATCAAACTACAACATTATAACAACAAGATATATCAAATGTTCTTAATTTAAATGATTTAATTTTCTTTACAATCGTTTATTTTCGGAGTATCGATTACTTACTGATGAAATAAAAATTCCAAAATTTCAAAAACATGTAAGTATATTAGTTTATATATTTAAATAAATAATAAAATGTTCTTAATAAATACAACTTATATAATTTTAATATTACAACAAATTGTTAACAAAACATTGCGTTGAAAAATGATACAAGTAATACAAAAAATCATATTTTTGAGATGATAATAAAAAATTAATCCTAAAGACTGTTATAATATATATTTTTGTCGAAATATACCACACATATTGTCGATATATTGTATATATGGAAAAATATCAAAAATTTTAATAAGAATTGAAATTTTGTTATATATTTCATTATATTTTAACGTTGTGGCTGTATTTTTGAACTCATATAATTGAAAGTATATATAATTATAACATGGAAAGAGAAATAAAATTATATATTAATTAATAAAACATTGTTCCAATTCAGAAAGAATTTTAAAAATGTTCTACTGAAAAAATTGCTAATTTTGAAATGTGCAACTTTTTTATTAATACGACGAAATGTTTTAAAAAAACAGTGTAAATTACAAAATTATTTTATATTTATGTAAATTAAGTTCATGAATTACAAGTTGTCTTTTTGAGGAGGTGTAAAGTACTGCATATCGTTGTAAATTAGCCGCTCAATTTCTATTTCGGTAACAGTTTTTGCATTCCCTGCTATTTCTCCCATCAACCCATCATTATTTTGCATTTTTGAAGTTAGATGGAAAATCAGTTCATTCGAGTTGCTGAAAACAATATCAACTCACAATCAAACGATAGATTGATAAATCAATCAAAATATCTAAATTGTAATATCTAAATTGATATATACCTGGAACTCATATCGCTGTTATTATATTTTATAAATGGGATAATTTGTGGAGTAGTGTAAGTTAAGCAATTCTGATTGCTAACGGAAATAATGGCGTGCTCAGCCTGCTGCAACTTCTGTGAAACTTCTGTATACGAAGCTTTCCTTTCGTCGACAGATTTTTTAAATCGTTTCATCAGATTTTGATCTTCGTCGCTGAATGCACACTTTTTTTTTCTTGATATATACGATTTGCTTTGCAAATCTCTTATGTTATAATTTTCTTTATCTTGCCTGTTCATATCAATTAAAATATCGACTTAAATAAGAAACTATATGTTCATACGCAAGTAATTATCCAATTATGCAAATTAGTTGTTAAATTAAAAAATTGATGTTACGTTTTATAATTTTTATCAATAATCGTTTTCATATTTGAAATAAACTCTTCATCATCGGCGTTTTCTGTATCCTCTACAAAAATGACATCAGTAGTCTGCTTTTTCGTTAAATTGTTTCTATGTATGAAACCTGAACTTATTTCTCCTGTATAGAAACAAATTCGTATCTTAAGCAGAATCTTAATAATAAAAATATGTATGTATCATTTTCATGGCAACTATAATAATATAATTTACCTGTCATAGAGAGTGAAATATTTTTGTAATCAATAATATCATTATCATTATTTATTTCCTCATTGTTTTTTGTTTTTGTTGCAATAAGTTGATGTGTTTTATAATATGAATGGTTGCTATTACTTGAAGATTGCGAAATCAAAGGTTTTTTATTTATTCGTATATCGCGGATAATTTTATCCATAGTTTAATAAAAAGCTGAATATAATATCTGTATGAAATTTTAAAAAATAAAATATATTTCTTCCACCTTTGAACAATTATTCTTCTAACAATTTTATACATTATAAAAAATTATGATAGCAGTTATAAAAGTAAGTAACAATAGTTAATTAAACAATATCCAGCATAAAATTTTTTTCTAAACTTTCCAGAATAAGAAATTATGTTTTATTTCCCTTTTATATCCTATAAATTTATAAGTTTCATATAAGTTTCATTTTACATTACATGAAAATTATTTTTATTAATAATTTATATATAATTTTAAATTATTATTAATTAGAGTAGTTTCATGCAATGTATAATATAAGAATTCAAAAAGTATTAAGTAAAATATTTTTTTCTTATACGACATGAATCCTGAAAAAATGCATTAAGTTTTATGCTGCATAATAATACTGTCTAATTAAGTGTAACTGTTTAATTACAGTGTAAAAATTTAAATATATTTTAATATTTTATTTATATTTTAATAATTTATATAAAAACTTAAATTTGTGTGTATGTGATTGCTACAAAACTGTTTTAAAGTTGCTACAAAATTTCGTTATTATTCGAATATAGAAAACAAAAATTGATAAAAGTATTACAGAAATACAATTTACATGAATAAGCGTTTTGTAATTGAAACGGATAGACAGAATTCATAAAAGGATTCTTTTTTTTTTCCCTAAGTGGACTTCCGACCCAGAGGCAGGTCAAAGTTTATCATATAAACTGAAAGGCTTCAACGATATGTGAAATATCGAATGACTCCAAATGATTCGAAATTAGATTTAGCTTACTATCAGTACAAGGGCTATGTTCCAAAATTGACTGCCTGTACTTAAAATCTGTACTAAAAACAGTGATGTAACATAACGTAAACTGTCGCATAGTAGCAGTAAATTTAGAACACAGCCAAGAAGTTGGCAGCACATTAAAAATTAGAACATGCGCAGCTTTGCAATTGTTATAAAATTCTTCAATTGATTCTTACTTTTGGTTCCTTATGGATCTAAATGTATAAACCAATCATATTGAAGAATTTTACAACAGTTGTACAAGCATTCTCTGCTGAACGCACGAATGCACGATTCGAAACAAGATTTTCTCCTTTTGGTTTCCCGTTTCTTGATTTTTCGACTCAAAAAACAAGGTTTTAGCTTTACGTGTCGAAGTTACGCAAAACTGACGCAAGATCACGTAAGATGGCACAAGGCCATGTCCTTTAGGTTAGGACTAAATTCCATATTCTTGTATGCATTAGTTTATGTGATGTTTTAACCTAACAGCCTCCAGTTCATTGTCTTCGGCCACGATAATTTTTACAAGAAATCAAATAATACGAGAGAAAAGGATTTATGAGAATTTGCGACAGCTTCGGAGGATGCGACTTGTGATAGCGATGAGTTCTAAGTTGCCAGTGATCCTGCGACAGCGCAGTGCAACCACGCGCTTATTCTACGGAAACCGGTCGCCTTTGGATTATCGAACACCGTTGCCGATTTACACCAGACTGACACGAACTGAATGCCCGGGTTATAGGTCAGGATTATTTAGAATCACTCGGATTCACCCCGCATTGACGTCGGTGAGATTTTTCACGAAGAGATTCTCTGATCGAGATCCTCCGAGGTAAATTGATTAAGTATATAGTTCCCAGAGAATTAAAATTAAAAATAAAATCAAAGAGCAATGTGCTAGGCAGTTATGTTTTTTGAAAAAAGAAAGTGTATTAGTTCAGGAAATATTTCTTGAACGCTGCAAATTGTATACAAAAATCATAATCTGATTAATAGGTATAAAAAGTATATGTACAGGTTGTCTGTCACTTATTTTCAATCAATTTGATTAGACAATTAAAAAATATATATTGCCTCCTTTTTTATTAGTAAATTAAAACAAAAGTCACAGGAAGGAACGATACTAATTGTAATATAATACACGTTTCAGTTAATTTACTAATATATGGAGTAAAGGTTTTTTCTTGATTTTTACTTGGTCTTTATCAGTTTTCACATGTAACATATTAAAATTTAAAAAAATATTCTACATATAATTTGTTACATTTCTTTAGTTGGGACTTTTGAAATTACTACGAAGGAACCAACTATAAATATTATTTTATCAATCATCAAAAATAACTAACTTCCTGAAGATCATCAAAGCGTTATAATTTAGAATGTGATTTTTTTCAAGGATTGTGAAATAAAATGGCATTTGATTATGTTAAGAATCATTTCAACAATATTTTTTCTTTAATCAATAATTTTCTGTCAAGTCTGAAAAATTTTTTTCTCTTTCTGAAAATCTTAATTTTCTTTCGATTGTATTAAGGAAACAATATCTTATAAATATATTGACTGTAAGTACCTAAAATATATTGTATCTAACTTTTGAAAATGTATCGTTTTTTATTTTATATATACATGTTGTTTAGTGATGGGAATGGAGAACAGTCTGGAGATTATCCTGCTTCACTTCCTGCAACTGTAGTGGTGCCTGAAGTATGGCCTCATGTACCAGTCATTGCTATCAATAGAAATCCAGTATTTCCCAGATTTATTAAATTAATTGAGATTAGTAATCCAGTTCTGATCGATTTAATACGTAGAAAGATAAAGCTAAATCAGCCTTATGTGGGAATTTTCTTGAAGAAATCCGAAGAGTAAGTTTCTTCAAATTATTCTCTAGCATTAATTTATATTGACATATATAATGTCAAAATTAATAATTATGTGATATATGTAGTGTAAATAATTTCATTTCTAGTATGTCATTTGTTCATACAGAAATGAAGCTGATGTCGTTCTAAGTTTAAATGATATTTATCCAATTGGAACTTTTGCTCAAGTACATGAGGTACAAGATTTAGGAAATCGATTGAGATTAGTGGTTATGGCACATAGAAGAATCAAGATCGTTAATCAAATTTTCGAAGATGCCAATCCAAAAGTAGAACACGGTACGAAAAATATATTTAATTATTGTATTTTCATATTGTAACAAAATCACATTTTGTAGAAATTTAATGTTCTGTTAATTGATAAAAATTTTCTTGTTTAAATTGGCATGGCTCTGTTCTTCGATCATCTTGCTTAAATATTGTCCTGCCTACTTTATACAGAGATGAAACTGACATTTCCACTATTAAATACTACAATTACCGTTCCTGTAGACGACACAATGACCAATAACAAGATTAACCGGAGATCATTGCGTAAAAAAGGAGAGAATAGAATTGAAAGAATAGAAAAAGTCAGTGAAACAAGCTTTACGGAAATAAAACCGCAAGTACATGCGCCTGAAAAGAATACGGAAAAACCATTAGTTTCATCAATTCCTCAATCTGATAGTCAACCTATATTAATGGTGGAAGTTGTAAATATCACACATGAAAAGTTTAAACAAACTGAGGAGATTAAGGTAATATACAGAATGATATTAAAAAATGTTCGCAATATTGTGAAAATAGCCATTTTCATATTTTATTTAAGTTAATTAATGAACAAATCACCCCCTCCCCCCCATTTCCCACCTTATATAAATACTAAGTAAACAACAGAACAAACAAAAATTAATAACTGAAAAGAATGATAATGTTTACTAAAGTTTATCTTGTCTTACTCAATATTTTCTTTTTGATAAAAAAGATTTTTGTTTTACGAAAAAATTGATTACATTATTTTGAAAACAGTTCACTTTGAATGTATCTTGTTATTACAATACCAGTAACCAAGATAACCAAGATAATCAAGATAATCAGTAATAACATTACAAAATTACAATACCAGAAATTTTATCATCAGAAATATTTTTTAAACAGGCACTGACGCAAGAACTTATTAAAACAATCCGAGATATAATCAGCATGAATCCTTTGTATCGCGAATCTTTACAACAAATGCTACATCAGGGACAAAGAGTTGTGGATAATCCTGTTTACCTTAGTGATTTAGGTGCTGCCTTAACTGGAGCAGATGCACAGGAATTGCAACAAGTTTTAGAAGAAATGGATGTAAGTACATTATTGATATTACAGCATGTGTACACAATTTCTATATATATTTATGGAAAATATTAAAGTAATATTTTATTTATAGATTCTAAAAAGATTGAGATTGTCACTCGCACTTTTGAAAAAGGAATATGAATTAAGCAAGCTGCAACAGAAAATTGGTAAAGAGGTTGAAGAGAAAGTAAAACAACAACATAGAAAATATATTCTTCATGAACAACTCAAAGTTATTAAGAAAGAATTAGGATTGGAAAAGGATGATAAAGATGCGATAGAAGAAAAATATAGAGAAAAAATAAGACAAAAGACAGTTCCTAAACCAGTTATGGACGTGTTGGAGGAGGAATTGAATAAACTTTCCTTTTTAGAAAGCCATAGTAGCGAATTCAAGTGAGTATTAAATATCATAAGTATGTGTGTTATATATGTTGATGATTTATATAAATTTTATATAAATTTTGTATTTTTTAGTGTTACAAGAAATTATCTCGATTGGCTTACATCTATGCCATGGGGTGTGACAAGTACTGAAAACTTAAATCTTCAAG